AAAATCATGATTTTCTCACGGAGCACCTATCAATCTTGGATGGAACACAAGTGTTCCGCAGAATATAGTTTGGGAAACGCTGGTATAGAGGAAGCCAGCTGTGCCAGGAAGGTGTGTTTCACTAATATTGGTGGAGGGCTGTACCACGTTTAACACAAGGAGTAGTTGGGAGTAGCAAGGCTAGTGGCAAGCAAAACATCTGTACATATAGTAGACAACACTGAAAAAGAAAAGCTATTATGTGAGACGACTTAAATATCTATCTGAAATACATTTTCTCTTTAGAAACATTAGAATGTTATTTTAATGTAGTGAACATTAATTTTTGCCATAAATTTTACTCTTGATAATTTCTGTCATGCATTTTGTTGATGCTAACAGCCTGTATCAAGATATAAATGTGTAGATGTTTGTGTGTGAAAATATATACACTGCCTTCCCAAATTATTTTAATATATAATTATAATGAATGAGGGTCTGAACAGTTATTATCCCAGTATGGTACATTACCAATCTTAGTCTCAATAATTGCTGCTATTATGCAATGCATGCTCTCAGCTAAATTTCAAGAAGGATCTGGAGCAAATTTTTCCAGTTTTGTTTCAAGAGTTTAGCCACTTAGTGAGGACTGGAAATCTGGTATTTAATCTTTCAAATGAACTACATTCAGCTGTATTTTATAGGGTTATGGTTAGGATTTTGGATGGGTTATTCCAAGACATTAATATTGGCAGAGGGCATTATTCTGATGAATTAAAATATTGTTGCCTTTCATATGCTCATTTGAAATCTTTTGTTATCTATTGGCATTAAATCTGCAAACACACTTTAGTTACATTTCTCAGTCAATACACAGAATATAGCTCCCATTATAATGTCCCATCAAAATTCTTCACAATTGAAACAGTGCAATTGTGGCTAAATTGTTCACTTACCTTATTCTAAACCCATATTTGACTTTGAGTTTAAACTTATACCTCAGCATTTTGACACCAAAATTTCAGTGCTGACAGACTTTATATCAAGCAAAACAGTGCTGAGCATTTATGGAGAGCATGTTGCAACATACCTCATTGATAATGTTTATTCCAGTATGTTCACATCTTAACAATAATGGAGAGTTAAATACATTATATTAAAAGGATCTTGAATATATAAATCAATTGATCGTGTGACAACCATAGCCGGTATAAAGTTGCAGTGGAACTAAATGTATGAGATCTATATTTTGACATTTTTTGGCATATTATAAGTAATGTGCTGCCTTGATACCTTTTGGGAAGTGTATATAACAGTCCCTTATGACACAAAATGTTCATACACTTGGATTATAAAGATGTGTTCAGACCAGGGATTTAGAATTTCTAAGATGGCAATATCCCTTGTACTTAATGGAATTGGGAAAACAAAGAAATAGGGATCAACTTGTGGCACCAAGACCATCCAGAAAGAGACCTACAACAAGTTGTATCCCAATCATGGTAAGTAAAGTGTTGAGTCTTGTAACAGTTGAGAATCCATGAACACAGGATTCAGTAGCAAATGCCACCAACTTGTCCCAGACAGCAATACACAACATAATCAAGAAGGATCTCTATCTAGAAAAATGACATAATTCATGAATATACACATTGCTTCCATGACACATCTGTTCAACTATTGCATACCTCAAGCAGCTGGGGAACAAAATGAGCATTTGTGTTAATCCATATGAAGACACATATCAAGTTACTGGATGCATTGCCTTTGAGCACTGGGAAACCATCATCCTCCTGCCCTAGATGGATTATGGAAAGCAGCATAGAGGAGTGGTATGCTTTAACCATGGCAGCTTTACATTGGAGCCATTTTACAATAGAAATTATGCTGCAGAGCTATTGTCAGGTTTCAGTTTCGTCAGATAGAACGTGACTTTGTCAACATGGTGAGGCTCCAAAATCAGTTTTAAATAATGTATTTAACATCAGTAATTGTTTTTAATGCTCAACAATACTATTGATTCAAACATATTTTAAATTTGTACTATCAGATTCATTATACTATTGAATAATGGTCTCGTACACAGTAAATTGCATGTGGCTATTTCATATATAGATTTTCCACACTTTTAGCAGCTTACAGTTTTTTCTCTCAAAGAAATTTAATTCACAGCATCTTGACACTGCTGGTCTTCCAAACTGGTCCATTATTCTTATACTTGATATTATACAGTCATTTCATTAGAGATCCTGACCATACTTCCCATGATTACCAATATCTTCTGTAGCAGCTTTATTGTGTCATTTTTAATGTTGGTTTCTAACATCATATTAATTGTAACTTGCTCAACACATGATTGTATGATTTTCAATGCTGGGTTTAACACAAAATAATTGCAACTTGCCCAACATATTCTTATATAATTTTCAAAGTTAGTTCTAAAGTCAATATATCAATTTAACCAGAACTTGCTCCTCATATACTATTTTCAACTTGTCCCAGTGAATTTGCTTTGAGCAGTTCTACCAAAAAATATACCCTTGTTTTCTATTTCTTGTCAATTACCAAGCTTTTTCAGGATTCTGTAAGAATTGTGTTAAATAGTATAATGTAATTATCCCATTCCATCATCAAATACTTAAAACTTTAATGATTATTGAAGATTTATACTTATAACTGATTTTCCTAGAAATACATATGTTGTGATTATAACAAAAGTTAAGTTACTCTTAGAAATGTTGTTTTTTTATTTTTCAGTGTTTTCTTTATGAGGAAGTTTGAATTTAGTCCTACAATGGCCAATAATATAAATGGGTATGTATTGAAGGAACATCATATGACTGGAATTGAAAATATTTTAAGTATGGTCTCATGGTCCTTTAATATAACTTTTTACATTTTCTGCTTAAATTAATGTGAGGCTATAGCTTTAAAAATGCAGCTGTGTATGTTTTTTTACTGTCTCTTTCATGACTTTATTCTTGTTTTTTCTGTACTCATACTAGTGGACAAACCACCCAGTGACTCAGTGGTAAGTCAGCAGATTTATGATGCTAAAATTTGGGTTTTGATACCTTTGATGGGCAGAGGCATTGTGTTACTTTGTACTTAACCACAAACAAACCAAAAATAGTGGGTAGCATTTTATATGCATTTTTTGATAGTCTGTAAAACTTAAAATAAACTCAAAAATTCACTAAAGACAAAGGTAATAAGATGCATACTTCAAAAACAATTATTTTTAATTGGAATATTTCAAATTTATGACTGTCTTTGGGTTTAACTGCATTGTAATAATTTATGTGAAAAAATATTTAGTGACCTTATTGTATTTTAACCAAACACCACCAACTCTATTTAACCCTATCACTACAGGTAGGGGTTAGAGGGCATGTCATCACATTTGTAGACTTACATTCAATATTTTACTGAACTACTATTTTATGAATGTATGTCAATAAGTTTGGTATCAAATTTTCGATTATAATCCAAATTTTAGTGTTATACTTTTGTTAATTTCTTAATTTAAAAGTAAATACTAAAACAAAATTCCTAAATATCAATTTTTGTATGTCACATGGTATGTTGAATCCTTTGGCTCAAATTAGATGTTTGTGATGTACAACTACAAGGTCTATAGTTTCTCATGAGTTAGAAACTAAAGTTACCAATATTGACAAGCTAGAATATTAAATATTCTATTTTCTAAGATATTATTATATTATGTGAATCAACCAAGTTGGCCCCACCCAACTCTTCGATATTTGGAAATACTTGTTAACATACACCTACATTGCTCTATGATATGTTTATAACAAATTAAAAGATCAGAATTTTTCATTCATGGTTTTTTCGGCCTTTGCGAAGTACTTACAAAGGAATAACCTTCTTTTTAGTTGTAGAATCGAAGGGGAGAGGTAAGAGAAAATGGTGCTCAAAATATTAATTTTTTTAGACCCACCTATAGTGTAGTTAGTAAGCCTGATAAATTACAGTAGAATTCTATGGTATTGATAAAGTAATTTGTGATTTTTTTGTTATTTCAAAAATTCATATATAAAAACTTAAAAGAATTATTTTATTTTATATCCTCCACGTGTGAAATTTGACAAGGCTTAGCAAACTGCAGCAAGCGAGTACAAACTTCATAAGAAAAATAACAGAAATTTAAGAATTTATTTATACATAGTAATAACATATATTTTATGTAATGTATTATAACTGAAATGTAATTGTCTTCTACAAAATAATGGTCCACTAGGACAAAGCTAAGACAGTTGCACTTTGTAAAGGCCAGTTTTATACTATTGGATACGGTAACATGAGTTATTGTAATTGGTGTAATGGTTGATCAGTCTCTTATGTCATCCAGGCAGTGTGCTGTTGCTAGTGGTAGGGCAAATAGGATTTTACATTATATCTACAGAAATATTGAATACAAGTCCAAAGAGGTTATAACTTCATTATGCAGATAACTGGTTAGACCACATTTGGAGTATTGTGTTCAGTTTTGGGCTTCTTACCTTTGGAAGGACATTGGATTGTTGGAAAGGGTTCAGAGGAAGGTTACTAAAATGGTATCTAGGATGGAGGGGTTATCATATGAGGAAAGATTAAGATCTATAAAATTGTTGTTTTTTTTGTTTTTTTTGAAGAAGAGTTAGAGAAGATTTGATTGAGGTGTTCAAGATTGTTAAAGGAATTGATAGTGTTAATGCATGATCTTTTTTCATATTCAACAGTGAGAATAGTAGCACTAGGAAACACAAATATAAATTTTGGCAAGGTAGGAGTCATCTTGATCTAAGACAGTTTTATTTTTCTAACAAGGTGGTTGGCCTCTAGAGAGGGTTGCTTTTGGATGTTGTGGAGACAGTAAATTTAAACAAGTTTAAAATAAAACTTGATAATTATATGAATTATATGGGCTGGCTTTAAGATTTGTATTTTATTTTTAATTTTTTAATTTGATAGTTTTAGTTTAATTTAGAGAATGGGACAGGCCTAAACATTATGTGATGTTATTATGTTGTGTTATAATATTATGAGATTTATGCTATTTAAAATAAACATTTGTGGATTTGTGTTATAATTTGTAGCCATTCTAGAATGAAAAATGAGTAATTTATATCTATTTCCTAATTTTTTATGGTGGTTATAAAGTCGGTAAGATTGACCAAACCTGTACAGTGATAAAATAGTGAAAATTACAGAAAAAATATAAATTTTTTTCTAAACAAAAATTTGGTAATTATCTGGAGGTTATAGAAATTTCATATGTGACAATTTTCTGATGCATAAAAATCATTTTAATCTTAAAATAAAAATTACTTTGTATGTTGGATAGTCAACTTTTGAAATGAAAAAATGCACGAGCAAATCATTAATTAAAAAATCGTAAAACTTAATTACAAAATATGATATTTTGTGTATGAAAGCCTTGTAATGTTTGCTGATAAATTTTGTGAACATATGCATGCTCTATGAAAAGTTATAGTATGAAAACTATAAGAAGCACAAAATGGTTATGAGGTCAGCCCCTGGGATCAGACCCATAGTGAAAGGGTTACTCTGATGATTTATTTTCTACACTGTTTATTCATTTTTTTTCTATTTTAGTTAATTTTAACTATTTTAGACATAATGCATTTATTATATTTTAATAAATGAAGAAATTTTGTCAACATGGTCTTCTATTTTTGGTATGTATAATTACTGTCCTTTTCTTTTAGTATAGTGTACATTGTATCAGCTGGAGCATCGCCGGTGTTAGGACTTTTAATTGACAAAACTGGAAGACATCTCACATGGGTCTTTGTATCTGTCATATTAACTTTAGGGATGCATGCATTACTGGCATTTTCCTTCCTTAATCCTTGGATTGCTATGGTAAGTAAATATTCTTCTTAATTTAGTACTAAATAGTAAATAAACAATATTGGCCTACTCTTCTGTTTCCTGTCTAAATAAATACTTAATTCAGATAAATTGTGTGTGTACATTCTCTATGAAATGAATCACTGTTTTGTTAAGACTTGTTTTTTTATAAATCTCCATGCGATAGACTCACAAGTATTATTGAAAATGTTTTCTGAGAAACAAAATTCATTCTGATATGATACGTAACCTCTGCTCAGTGTAGCCCTCTGTTTGCAAATTTTTTGTTTGCCACTAGCCTTGAGGTTCCCACCTAAATTTGTGTGTTTTCACATGATATTGCTGTGTTTTTGCATGGAAGTGAACATGTGACAACCCTGGTGTTGGATTGGTGCAAGACCAGCCAACATAAGTCATCACTCAGTTGCAGTTCAAATGATAAATTCTTGTTCTGCCTCACTGGAAACCTCCTCCTACTGCAACTTGAATTCCTGGTGCTCTTGGTTTTGAACTGGAGTTGACCCACCATGTATCTGATGCACCCTAGCCACACTACATGTATAGCACTTCTGTGAGTGAGCCTGGTACAGGTTATGGGCTTGTATTTTCCTCCCATTCTAGTGACACTTCCCTTCTTTACAAGCAAACTGTGCCATGGTACAGATCAGGTGCAGTCTCCCATGGTTGTGCTCCTATACTGTTCCATGGTATAGGGTGTCGCAATCTATAAGTTCTATAAGTCTTCCTGAAGGGAGCTCATCTTGGCAAATTTTGCACATGGAGTTCTAGCTTTTCACCCTTCTTCCCCACTTCCAGTGCATCTTTTTTTGTCTAATCTCAAAGTAATTATTGAACAATCAGTATAAAGGGAGTCAGCTGCTCTAAGAGAAGGTGTCTCACTCCTATTGGTGGAGGGTTATAATATGCTCTTTTTCATGCAACAATGCAGAAATATCACACAGAAACATGGGAATTTAGGTGGGAGCCTCAGGGCTAGTAGTGAGCAAAACGATTGTCTCTAGAGGGCAGCACTGAATTAGGAAAGCTGTATGTGAGAGGGGTGAGTATCTATCAGAAATATATTTTCAGTGTTGGAAATGATACTGTCCTAAAATAAAAGTTTCAATGGAAACAATTAATAAATTTGTTTTTAACTTAGACTTTTAAGTAACTTTGATAAAACTGATGGTATTTGGTTAATTCAAGAAATTAACAAATAAAAATAATTAATATCACACATATAACATTTTTGTAGTTTTCAGTTTATTTGACAACCTTTTGAATATCATTCTTTTCCTTTCTAATTAATTTATTAAATCTAAGAAATTTTGTTATTGAATTAATAAACTGTACATTAAGGATATATCAGTTTCTTTTGTAACACATTAAAATGAAAGCTGCTCATAAAATTATTAAAACAGAATTAATTCATTTGTATATGCAAAGTGCAATCAAAGCGTAAAAGGGAAATGCAAAATATATTACATACTCATTTTTTGTTATACACTGATCTGTTATAAAGGTTTAAGAGTTATGCATGTTACACCTGCCTTTAAGAATAAGCAGCTTCTGAAGACTGAGTAGTAAAGCCTGCTGATACTAACAGTATAGCCATTTAGTAGTAAAGTGCTGACTAACTGTTTTGCTTGTACTAAGTTTACCCAAACCAGTTATCAAATTTTTACAGATTAATGTAATGGTACAGAGTTTTCAAACTAACCATTTGTAAGCTAATGCCAAAATACTAACCTGTCATTACTCCAGCACCAATTGGTTCATAATCTTTGTGCTTACATAGTAACTAGCTTGCAAGCTCAGTGTCAGAACACTGGTCTATCAGTATCAATTAGTTCGAAAATTCAGTAACAGCACACTTCTCTAACAATACTTGATAACCAACTAGTTTGTAAATTTACATGTAATACTAACAAACCAGCCAGGCAATACTTCAGTACCAGTTAGTTTGAAAACTCAGTACCAGCACACTTGAATGACAATATTTTATAGCCAATTGGTCTACAAAATTAAGAGTAATACCAACAAGTCAGCCAGTCAACAATTTAGCATCATTACAAACCAGTAGGTCGTAGTGTGCTAGCACTAAGTTCACATATTGCTTAATGATAAAGACTATATGACAGGCTAGCATGCCAGTAGTAATTTTGTACAAGTGTTTTGTTTATTTTTTCTAAGTTTACAATGGACAACTAGTATGTACTTTATAATGATAGTCAAATATCTTATTGCTAGCTAAAAGCTGTTTAAAAATTGTTTGGTCAATTTGTATTTATAAAGTGAGAAGTAGATGTCAACATGTTTCCATTGTGACAGACTATAGAACAAGACAGAAACTCTAATAGGTGTACAAATCTAGTTTATGTAAAATGTGTACTGTATTTTTTTTTACTCTTTTATGCTGAATTAAATGACATACCTATTAAACTCATGGAGAAAAGTTGGGGGTTCTCATATAAATGCCAACTGCATTATACCACTCCCCAGGTGGCCCTATGGGTATTTGCCAGGATTGGTGGCAGTCAGTCCAGCAGTTTGCCAGTTATAAGCTGCTATACATACCGGCATTACCAAATAATGGTCTACATTAAATTACTGAATTTAATAATGTCTAGATTTATTTCTGATCATTTCCACTTCAACCTTGAATTTTTCAAATCCCAATTTATTATAAAAGCATTTAGTGTTTACATAAAACTTGAAGAAATCCTTTGGTATCTTGTTTTCTAAATGACAAAATGATTATAGTTTATTGCTTCTTCACATAACTTAATATTAAGGATTTTACTTGTTAGGTTATAATGGGTTTTGCTTACTCCATGCTTGCATCAGGATTGTGGCCAATGGTAGCTCTAATTATCCCTGAACACCAGCTTGGTACAGCCTATGGCATGTAAGTCCTTCAGCAAAATACTTATTAAATAGGATAAGATCCGATCTAGATAGTTTTTTCATGCCAGGTGATACACATGTTTGTGGACCATCTGCACAGTTCATAAACTGTGTTTATTTCATTTGTATGGATAAGTAAGAGATTACAATTATTTCATAATTATATCTAAAATGCAAGTTTATTGATTTACTAGAGCTAAAGGTTTTCTCTAATAAGTTAAAATATATTCTTTTAAACAGTTTTAGTTGTTCTACTGTGTTTTTAATGCAAACCTCTGTGAAACTTTCTTTTGTGACACTATAATGAAAAATAAAATATTTTTGATTTTATGTTGTTTTAAGGAAAAATGAAGACATTATAATATGTTTGGATTTGAATTTAGTTTTTTACAAAAATAGCTTAAAACTGTACTGTACTTCTAGATGAATGGTAGCAGCTAATGCATGGAGTTTGTTAAGTAGGTCTTCTTCATCCCTTTTCCTGAACTGGCTTGTAATATTACTCATTTACAAACTATCTCACCCGTAACTCCCAAAACTCTTCCATCAATTATCAACCTCCACCTTACTTGCATATGCAGTAAAGTTTTCTTTAATATTTGCCTTCTGCGGTGATCAGTTTTTCATCATTTTGATTATGCTACAAAATTGTGCTTTGTTGGCATCTCTCTGAGTTTTTAATCATTTATACTTTACACATTTTTCACATTTGGAAAATTTACATCTTTCCTTGACTACTAGTGAAGATTCCTCCTGAATTTTTATATTGTTCAACTTTTCCAGCGTTCTTCTGCTTGTGTCTTTTTGATGTTGCTAGTGAGGCTTCTGGTACTCTTTCATGTATTCCATTATCTTATAAGATAATACAAAATTGTTTCTGTTTTTTTATTAAAAAATTAATAAATGAAGAAGCTAGGGTGGGAGAGTATAAACTCTCATACAGAAACTTCTTGAGATATTCATGATGTTCTTATGGTCATTCATGTTTACATTATTTCTGTTGTTTTCTATTTGCCCATTCCTGACATGTGTGTGTTTCTTATTCTTTGAGGAATTTCTTTTGGAGGTGGATGATTCATCTTTTTTTCTTTTTTTTTACCTGATGTTTTGCACTTCTTTGCTTTTCGTTGAACCTAAATTATGTTTTTCTTCTCCTTTTCCTCGTGCTTAACTTATGAGAATTCTAGACCATTCTTTTTCATCCTCTTACTTTTCTAGATATTCTGTTGTTATTAAATTCTTTATGGAACAGGCTACACTGAAACTAATGTCTGTGCAAACTTTCTTTATTTCATTGGATTCATATTGTTGTTGCCTGTTATTCTACATTTTTATTAAGAGACAGGACTTGTGTTCCTTGAGACATAGATGAAGTAGTAGTGTCCAACTGAGACTCTCTCAATATCTTCTCCATTTATCAGTCATTTTAAAGAAGTTTTGATTTCTTTTTGTAACAGGTTGTTAATTTTCTGAGACTATTTTTGACATCTGAAGGCTTTCTCTTTTTTTAGTTTTGTTTTTGATGATTCCAGTTATGTAGGACTGTATCTGTTGGTGAGTTGCTTCTTTAAACTTGAACCTTATCTTCTTTCTTCCAGAGTTACCTCTGTTTTCTTCATTTCTCAGTGTTTGCTTTCTTGAGTATCTTGAACACTCATTTAGCTATTTTAGCCCTTTCTCATGGCACTTGTAATGCCAGAAAGTTTCTTGATCTAATGCTATGGATTCAAACCTTTTGGTTTGCCCAAAACCCCAGTTAAGTCTTGATGTTCAAGCTTCTCATCAGCAGTACTTTCATGGGTCTTCATAACCAACAGCTGCTAATAACATCTAAAACTCTTCTTCCCTTGTTCAGCTCTTGTAGAAAAATAGCATACCCAAATTAAGAGCTTTTGTTTACAGATTCTGAGTTCTTCACATGGGATTTTCTCTTCAAAAATGATTGCCTGCTCCAACTCTTTTTTTCTTTCTTTCTTGATGTGTTTCTTTCCTTGAGCTAGATGTGGCCTAGTATTAATATGTCCAGGCTATGAATCTAAGCATTTATAGTTTGCAGCTCAGTATTTCAATAACATGCTCCCTCCACTTTCAAGCTGTAGATGCATTAAAAAGAGTGACAGCCAACTTCATACATGGTACTCACCTCTCTACAGAACAGATAGCTAATACTTCAAACAACTACTGAAAAGTTTGTGCATGTGCCAAGGCTTTGAATGAAACTCCGCCCCTACATGTAATAATATGTACTGCACTAGTCTGTCTATGTCTATGGTTAAACCAGCATTAGACTATGCCCTTCCATTAGTGCAGTATTCCCCTTGAGCACTTTATGTGTATCAAAAGCTCACTCTTTTCCTCAGCACTGTAGTGATTGGTCTCATATTAATTTTTGATTAAGAATTACAGAAGTTTTACACTTATTATTTGTAATATTCAGTTAACATTTGAAGTGTTATCTTTACTTACCTTCATTTTCAAGAAAGAAAGATACAGATGTTTAAAATGGCTTCAGTTAGAGCTTCTTATACAAATTTATTATATTTTCTTGCATTTTGGTATGGGCACCTGCAATTTGTGGAGGGCCCGTATGGGAATTTCACTTTTGCAACAATACATACTGTAACTCTTGAGATTTGTTAACATATTTTCACAAAAACTGGTAAGGTTTTTATTAAGATTATCTTATAAGTATCTTGTACACAAAGAATGAAATTATTTTGATTAAGTGTTTCTACTAAAAATATGTTATTTATCTCTTATAGTTATTTGCACTCAAACTTAATAGTTTGAGTTCAAGATGATTTTCGTTTTAAGTATAAAAATACTTTTCTTCGCCTTATAGTTTTCATATTTCATTTGCATAACCTCTATAACCTCCTAAATGAATATTTATATTTTATTTTCCATTTTGTCTACCATATCACTAACTGTATTTTTACTTTATTACTCATCTAGGCACAAGTCAATGGTGTTCTCAAGGTGTAATTACAGTATCTTAAGCAGAAATGCACAAGCCTTCAGCAAAATTATCTTACCCCTGCACAAGATCTTAAACCTTGAGAACTGATGCAAAGTAGAATGTATTTTTTAATGCTCCTATCCCTTGAATATTTTCTCCCAGCTTGGAAAGTTTCTTCTCCTATTTCGACTCTTTTTATTTTTTTTACCCCAAATCTGCTCATCTTCATTTTTTATTTACTCACCTTCATAGTCTGCTGTCTTCCTTAACCCTTCTTTCAGAGGCTCTGCATCATTACCCTGACAGCTTTACTGGAGAAAGTCACACTAACATGTTCTTCATGCTACATTATTTTTTCTATAGCTTTTGGCAAGTTTACTTGCTTTCTTTGTTTCTGGGATTTGCTTCATCAGGATGCATTATTTCCGATATAATATCTTACCTCCCTCACAAAATAGCTTTTCTCGATTAGTACTGCCTTCTATCGGTGCATATCTTCAACACTCACCACTAGCCTTCCACCTCCTGCTTCTACATATCCACATGTAAATGATTATGCAGCAGCTCTCCACCAATACGAGCACGACACAACCTCTATCATAACCAATGCCCTCTCCACATTTGCACTTGTTAATCACTTCTCAATTGACATTAATACTGTACAGTCATGCTTGTTTTTGCTCACAAATTTGTCGACGTTTGCCTTTATACTATAGACTTAGTTTCTCTTTTCTCTGTTTTTGTTATTTCTTTATTTACAGGGGGCCTGTTTGCTAGTGTATTGTGGATCACAATCTGTGGCAAACGGTGCCTGTCCAAGTATACTTTTTTTTATAATCTGCACTGTCCATCCTGTGACCAATTCCAGATGCCACTGGGTGTTGGTTGATTAACTCCATTGGCGTGGTTGCTCTGCTTTTCAAAATAGGGTATCTTGGTCTCTGGTGATGTGGTCCTCCAGACTCTCCAACATGTTTTTCCCTCCTTTCTTCTAGTGTAGTATGGGAGTCCTTGCTACTTATCAGTTCCTAGCCACTGGGGTGGTGGACCATGAAAGCCTGTCCTCCCGAGAGATGCATCATACCACTCAGTTGAGAGTATGGCAGTGGCATTCTGCAGGTGTCGATGGCATATAGCACTTCCTACCATGGACTTGAAGTATAATTCCAGATGCTGCCAGGTTTTAGTTGTAGCACTACCCCATATTAATATATATATATATTTGGCAAATTGCTTTTTCCCAATGTGGCATTCCTCCTTCCTAATATCCTCCAGATGTACATTCCTGGTGGGTCAAGTCTTGGTTGGAGATGGACCTGGCCACTATCCCTCCTCCTACCGTGGACTGGATGAAAAATGCCAATTGCTGTAATGTTTTGGACTAGAGATACACCCCAGGTCTACAGTCCATCTTCCTACTTTCTGCTGAATGTTGTTTCCCAGTGGATCTGGTGTTGGTTGTAGCTGAATATGGCACATATATTCTTACATATGTATGGCTGGGTATCCTCCTCCTACTGCAGACTGAAAGAAACATATCCAATGCCAATGCCACCAGGTTTTGGACTGGAGATGTCATCCCACCAGGGCTTTCCTCCTTCCTACCATCTGCTGGATGTTGGCTCATGGTAGATCAGGTGTTGGTTGGTTTGGAAATGCATGCATGTGGAGAAGGATTTTGGTATGGAAGCTTGTCTTCCCTACCAATTCCCCTTTCGAGGTGAAGAGGTTGGTGATCCTCTACCTACCACAGATCTCATGTACAATTCCAAATACCACCAGGTGTTGGATGAGGTAAAACTACCACTACAGTCTGTCACATCCTAGCCACTCGACACCCATTAATCGATAATACATATTCTGGGATTCCTTCATATTTTTCCACCTTTTATGTTTACAATACAGTCATAAAAGAGCAAAGAGTATACCTTGATCAGATGTGGTGCTTTCTCCCACTGAGGTGTGATTTTTTTTTTTGGTTTCCACACCTCATGGTCTCTCTTTTGGTGCTTTCTAAAGCGGGATCATGTTTTCACCCAACTTTCACCAATTCAGTGTTAAATTCTAGCTATTTTGTGAGGGGAGGTAAGGTATAGTATCGGAAGTTAACATTTTCCTAAACTGAAAATATATTTCCAATAGATACTTACCTCCTCTCACATTTCCCACCCAGCCTCCACACTTTTGGTGATATATGGTGTAGGTCTTCTGACCAATCTCAAAGTGATTAATGAGTGCATATGTGGAGAGGGTGTTGGATATAATAGGGGTTGTGCCATGCTCCTATTGGTGGAGAGCTGCTGCATAATTATTTACATGTGGATATGTAGAAGCAGGAGGTGGAAGGCTAGTACTGAGCATTGAAAATTTTTGCCAGTAATAATCAAGAAAAGCTATTTTGTGAGGAGAGGTTAGTATCTATCACAAATACATTTTCAGTTTAGAAAAATTTTAACTTTGTGGAGTTAAACTCCCTCAATTATACCTCAGGAACTCCATTTGGCTTCCTTTCTTTATGTAGATGTTTTTTGTGTGAGTTCCTCTTCCTGTGGCTCCTTTATGTTGCCCCTCATCCAGAGAGGCCATCCATCATGAGGATCTGTGATAACTTTTTTCTGGAACCACCCCTCAGCTTTGGTCTTGTGAGAACTTGACTCTTACACTTTATCCACACACACACATACACACTGGAGACAATGGAACCCACCATGTGAACAGTGTTGCCTCACAAGGAATAACTTTCTTTATCTCCTGAAATCCACATTGAGTAGGATGTAATGGAGAGTGCTAAGTCCATCTGTCCCTGTTGAGATGGGGTTTTCCACAAGACTGCTTTTTATTTTATCTTCCAACCCATACTGCTACTTCACACTTGATCAGCTCCTGCTGTCCCTATTTGCAGTAACATTGCACATTCTCTGAGTTTGGGAACTTATTTGGATGATAGATAATTCCTGTTCAGTCCATACACTGCTTGGGTGTTCTTCCCTACATGAATTTCTCCTTCTAGTGAAGTAGGAGAATCCTTGCTTCCCTAGTATTAATCCATGAAGGATTCCTCTTTGGGTTGGTGTATTCCTACTGGTGTGAGACCAAGTAGTTGCATTGAATTCATCCCTTGATCACAAGTAGTGAAGTGTTTATCTGGAAGGCCTTCCCCACTACTCTAATAATTGGATCATTCCTGGTAGTTATCACCAGCCAGTTGAGTCTTGAATTTTTCTCAGGACATAGATCTGAGGTGATTCATCCATACACCTGCTTATTCTGGTAAATTTTTCTCTTGTCCTGTATATCTTATTGCTGTAGCCACACTACACATGCAGAGTATGCTAATCCCATGAAATATATAAGCTGGTTGAGCAGCATTTAGTTATACTCACCTTTGTAACACTTTAGCACCATGCAGGATATTCCTTTGAAAGTACCTTTATTCACTATCACTTGTACTGGACAAAGAGAGATAAATGAAATCTTCCACCAGGTCCCCCTCCCAAGTGGGTGACATGTTCAATGAGCTTTCCCTTTCTGTCACTATATTTTGAAAGAGGAACTCATCTTTTAGATTTTTTCATCTAGACTGGTCACTCCACAATCTTCACTTTGTGGCATTCTAGCTATCTGTTCTGTGGAGAGGTGAGTAATGTTTCTGAACTTAACATTTTCCTTACCTGAAACTGTAGAACCACCCACCCGGCCTCATCACTTCCAGTGTGTCTCTTATGCCTCATCAAGAATGAGCTTATGGTATACACAAAATGGTAAGGAGAATACTGTGCATGGAAATTGTGTCACTCTCTTGTTGTTGGAAGAGTATAGTCTAATACTGATTGGGTCCTAGACTAGCTCAGTACACATTATTACCTGTAGGAGTGGGAGTTTCATTAAAGGCTTAACATATGCATAACAGCTTTTTGGCAGTGGCACAAGGTATTAGCTATTTGTTCTATGGAGAGATGAGTACCTATCTGAAATACACGTCTTTGCCATGGAAATGATAACTACCACTATTCAGTCAAGCTAGAGTAGTCCAAGAGTTGGCAGTTGGTGCTGTTGACTAGCTGCATTTCCTCTAGGTAACTGGAGACCATTGTCTAAAACTGTTAAGATGGAGATATTACTTCCTATTAAAGTCTCGGACACTGTATATTGGTTGTTGTATTGTTTTCACCTCACATTGAAAGTGCTTCTTTATCCTCTTCTATGTAAAGGGTTTGGTGTTTGGTTTAAGAAAGAGTCCATTGCTCATGTAAACCATCTAGAACTGATAATGATTACATGGGCATGTTTTCATTTCCAGGATTGTCACTCAGTTCACTCTACATAGTTTCCTAAAACAGTCACTAGGGAGACACCAAGCATTGCTCATTGAATCTAGTTTTCTGCAATTCACTTTTGCTGTGTACAAAATTTCTGTTTAAACGTGACAAAATTATTATCATTAAAAATGAAATTTTTTTGGACAAATTTTGTTGAAAGATCTGTTCTTTTATACACTATTTAATGATTCAAATGTATGCCATGATTTCATTCACAAGCTTCCAACTTTTTGGTTTCAGACTTGCTAGTTATGGTAGTAGATGATTTCAGTCAAAATTTGTTAAGCTTTTTTTTTCTGTACTTACTGGCCTTTAATTCATTGTGCCGTGTTCTGTTTCATACCCTGTAGTGTCCTGTTCAGTTTGGGGTTTCTCTTTTTATTTTTTTCTTCTTCTTCTTCATCTTTAAAAGTGGGAATCATTTCTGTTCTCAAACCTCAGTATTGTCTCACTTCTGTCGTCATGGTTGGTTAGTGTCAAGTCTTATGTTTACATAGTGGATTCTCTTTTGAGTAGCTCAACTTTTTCTTTAATCTTGCACTTCTTTTATTTTTATGAGTTTATCAGTGCCAATTGAAGAATTTCTTTTGCTTCTATTAGTGACAAAGTGATAACACTTTTTTGTTTTCTTTGACAGTTACTTTTGGTTCTCTCCAAGGCCTTTCTTGCCCTACAGAACATACTTGGCTCTTTTATGTGCTCTCTTCTTTCCTGTTGATTTTTCATGCTCATACACTACTTCTGTTTAGAATCTTTCATGTGGAAAGTCTTTTGAATTGTGCCACAAAAAATACCTTTTTCTTGGTTCATGTGGTATCTAGTCACTATTAATCTGACTTGTATCCTGCTGATATTTCTATAAATTTTTTTTTCTAGTACCAAGAATGATTTACATCTCTTCACTGACTGTTCCATTTTGTTTAAGACTTAGATGGCTCATGAGGGTAAAGGGATATTTCCTCTATTTACCTCTGTTTAAGCATTTGCCTCTTTAGTTGGATTCCTAGGCCACCATCAAGCCAGTTATGAGGTTAAAATGGAATGTAACCATGACTATAATTCAAGGTTCTTCCTCCCAATAAATGCAACTGTTCTCAGTTCATAATAACCCCCACATTCATGTAGCATTACAATTGTATTAAGTTAATAAACCCCTTGACATATCTTATACCTGACATAACTAGAACTTTTTGATGATCATTGCTTCTTTTTCCCATTTAAGAAGCATGCTGATTCCTCCTTTCTTCCAGATTTTTCCCTTTCTTCATCAGTGTGAGATTCAAGTAATTTGTTTGAAATCTACACTTTTAACAGTAAAATAAAATTGACTCTATACTGGTAGGTGGAGGGTCTTCTATGACCTACAAAATATTTTTTGAACAAATAATGCCACAAAGGGCACAGAAAGAAAGTTGAAAATATCTAACAATGATTGCTTAGTGGATTATCTAAATATCCATCTATTGATTCAATTTTTGGCTAAAAGTTTAATATTTTTAGAATCCCATTTCTTTACCTTTAATCTGTGACTATTGATTCATTGCCAAATCCATAAACCTTATATGTGATAGGTACTATCACTTGAAAACATGTCCTATATATAATTTTAAGTGAAGGGTATAGCTAGTAAACCTACAAGCTTATTTCATGAAAAAAACGTTTTCAGTCTGAGCAGCAACAGGGGATTAAATATGAAATAATACTAAGGTATGTATTCATAGAAAAAGAAAGATTTAACCTTTAGAATTAACTATATTTCTTGTGCCTTTAGAATGCAGTCTGTCCAAAATCTTGGTCTTGGAGTTATTACCATTTTAGCTGGATTAATTGTGGACAAGAAAGGTTATTTGGTCTTAGAAACATTTTTCTTGGGCTGGCTTTGTTGTAAGTATTTTTTCCTTTTCTATTCATGATATAATATGATAATATGTTTAAGACTTTTATAGTTTAATTTAGAGTATTTGTGACATGAAAGATCACTGTTGAACTGTAAGCTTTATCATATTGAATTTGTATTGCTTACTTCTCTCCAGTCTTCATCAAATTATGTAACTAAATTTCAACATCTACAAACAACTAGTCCTACAAATATGAGAGGGTCAAAATGTGTATGTCATGACCTATCTTACAGAGCTGTATCCAAAATTTAATGAACCTACTTTATAATCAATGTGTGTCAATAAGTGTGGCATCAAGACATAGTTTATAATACACATTGCTATATTATCAAAATTTTAATTTCTTAATTTCAAAAGGAAATATTTAAATCAATTCTCAGTTATCACTTCCCTGTGTCACATGACATGTCTCAATTCTGAATTCTTCAATTTAGATTTTCTTTCTCTACCATCTTATGGATTTCAGTGTGTCCAATTAATTACAGACTCATACTATAGATGTTGACAAACCAAAACATAAAGAGTGAACAGCCATTTTTCATGTTTTACTGAGATATCCCTCAATTTTCAACATCCATATGACATGGTTCTCCTGTTTGTCTCTGTCTCTCAAGACATTCTCTCTGACATTGCTAGTGCAGATATTTTTAACCAATGGAAAGAGCAAATTTCGAGAGGATACCTCCACACATAGAACAACTTAATTCCTTTTCACATCTGCCTATAAGACTTGCATGCCATTAGCCTTAAGCTACCTTCCACATAAAAAAACATGTTTAACATGAACTGTGTTAGTGCATGATGTCATCATCATCATGTGGCATTAGCCCTCCACCAATAGGAAGACGACACAACCTCCTTGTGCAGTAGCTTCTCATAAGCACTTGCACTGAAAGTTATTTTTTAAACATTATCTAGAATCAAAGTGCTCCATAATTGTTAATCAGTCGCTTGAGATTTGCGATAGTTTACAACTGTGTTAATTTTCATTCAACTTTACCTGGTTTAGTGTTTATGTTTCACACAACCAATGTGGTATCTTTAATTTTGCTTAGAAAAAAAAAACATTTGATGATGACCCGCCATTATGACTTCTCAAGTGGTGGTAACTTCCACTTTGTCCTGTGATATTGATCACGTTCCTAATACAGGAACTGTGGCTACTGGAGGCTTGTTGTTTGTGGAGGATGTGACAGTCATTGTTCAATGTTTTATTTGTTCTTTCAAGCACACTGGGCTTCCTCCTTTCATTTATTTGGCTAATGTTGTTCCCTCTCTCCAGTTTAATATGACCAGGATAACGATGAAGTTTACTGGCTATTTCCCCATCAAGGTTTGTCCTAGGCACAGCTTTATCTGTGGAAGAAAATCCTCACTCTTCTGATCTCTTCCTTGACATGGTTTTGTAGGTATGTTCTTTCTTTCTCTTATGTCTTTTGATTTTTCTTGTGGTTTACTACATGAAACCCATATTCAATTTTACATTGTATTCCCTTCTTCACCTGATATTAAGGTCTATGTGGACTCATTTGTCCTGACATACAACCATTCTTCATTTTCATTTCTCGATTCCCAGTCTTTGGAATACCTTTTACCTGCTTAGGGGCAAGACTCCTTAATTTCTCTTTCCCTTTCTAGTGCCCAATTTTCACACTTTTGTCTCTTTCTTACCACTCTTCTGCATTACCTCTCATCACTTTACTTATATCTCCAGAGGGGTTTTCTGAAGAGGTTTGTTCTCTCTTTGTTTTTTTCATCACATTGGCCTGTACTTCTTCTCTATCCCTCCTTACTTGGTTACTCTGCTGTTCGGTCTTGTTGAGACAGGATGCTCTCTAACTAATGTAGGCCTTCCTCATGCTTATCTCTGATGTTCTTTACCAGACTCCTTTACTTCATACGGAAGTCATCGGAGGTGTTTTTTTACTCATTGGAGACCCGGATTAAGGTGGCCCAGCATCAGTCCTCATTATTTTTTTTGTTTCTCATTTTTCTCAACCTCACTCTTTTGTTTCTTCTCCTAGGCACACATCTCCCATTCCAACTTCCCAACCTTCTTTTTCTTCTTTCTATCCTCCCACTTCCTGATGTCAGAGTCATTGCTCATCTCATCGGTGATTACCCTATCAGGTCTGGCCATGTAGGAGCCCGTCTATCTCTTTCTCCAATCTTTTCTCCATTTTTAGCCAGTAGTTGGGTTTTTCAGGTTCTCACCCTTGGCCTATCTCTCCATTTATCTTCTTTTCCTCCCCTTTCCCTCCAATCCTATTTATCTTCAGCATCTCAAGGATGTGGTCTTGGATCTTTTGGCCAAGAACACCATTGAGAGAGTACTTACCCCTACTCAGGGTCATTATTCTCATCTCTTTGTGGTCCCAAAGAAGACCAGGGAATGGCATCCAGTTATTGATCTGCCATCTCTCAACTGGTTTTTTGTCATCCCTCGGTTCATATGGAGGATTTCTTTTTATCTCAGGTGTTTCTTTTCACCAGGTCTGTGAAGGACCAGGGTCAGTGTTTTGAATGCCATTTTACATGTTCTAATTGCCCCATCATCCAAGCAATTTCTTCATATCATCCATCCAGGAAGATTGAGTTTTCCAGTTCTGTGCTCTTCTACTTTTAGCATTACTTCTTCTCTTTATATTCAATCAATCCATGGTGGCATTCAGCTGCCATACATATGAATTGGGGGCTGAATTTCAACTGCGGGAGTTGGCTCGGCTAGGCTGGTTTGTCAAACCTTCTTAGACTTTTCTTACACCTAACCAGTACTTGATGCATCTGATCATACCAATACTATAGTAGTCATTCTCTTGCTACTCCCCCCATCTGGACTTTTCTTACACCTAACCAGTACTTGGTGCATCTGATCATACCAATACTATAGTAGTCATCCTCTTGCTGCTTCCCCCCATTTGGATCTCTATCCCTTCACAGATGCTTCTCTGTCTAGTTAGGGTGTGTCTCTGAATAGCATGACCTCAGGTGTGGGCTGTGTTGGAGCATTCATTTCACATTAAATTACTCAAATTTCTCGGCATCAGTTGGGCATGTTTTCATTTCCTCCCTCTTCTGGTTGATCAGTTGGTAAAGATTTATTCTGACAGTTCCACAGCTGTTTCTTTTATCAACCATCAGGGGGATACCCATTCCAAGACCGTTTGCTTCTGCACATTAGGCATGCTATTTTAGGCTTGTTCCAATCGAGTTCAGCTTGTGGCTTGTCATGTGCCAGGGGCTCTAAACTTGGTAGCAGACTGTCTCTTGACCATACAGGATTCTACCTACAGAGTGGTCTCTTGACCCAGAGGTTTTTCATTGAGCATGACTCTCATTGATACTTTTGCCACTCCTCCCTACACCAAACTTCCCATCTTCTGGTCACCAGTTCCTCATCCTTCTGCCCTGGTAGTCGATGCTTTCAGCCAGGACTGGCCTCACATTTTTCTGTATGCCTACTCTCCTCGTTTTCTTCTCCCTCATATCCTTGCATTGATACATGGCACTCTTTGTCAGGTCTTGTTGGTGGCACCTCTTTGGTCAGCACAAATGTGGTTTCCTCTGTTTCATTAATTAACATCCAGGCCAACTTTTCCTTTGCCCTATTCCTGCTCTCTCTTGATCCAACTACCCACATCTCTTTTACACCTGAGAGTGTCATTCCTTCATCTTCATATTTGGGATTTCTCCAGTCTATTGCCTACTAAGCTGGCCTCATCAACTGTGTAGCCTTTTTTTTCTTGTCCATTCCTGTCATCCTTCATCTCTGCCCATCTGTCAATGGATAAGGTGGGTGTTTCAACATTGGTCCATCCACCACTCCCTTCCTCTAAGCCATCTTACTGTGGCCTCTCTTTCAGTCTTTTTCATGTGGTTTTTGACCATAGATTGTAGGTTTTCACCATTACCAGGTATCAAGTGGCTTTATCAACTATATTTTGCCTTTCTCATTACTGCCAGGTTTTTTCTTCCCCTTTCCTCTCCACTTTGTTCATGTCCTTCCTTCTTCACCGATCCCCTCATTCTACTTCCATTCCTTACTGGGACTTTTATGTGATTTTTACATTTACTTTGCTCAAGCCATTGGTCTCATGTTCATAATACCATCTTTCTCTGATGACCTGTTTCCTTCACTTTCTCACTTGTGGTCATCATCATTTGGATGTATTTACCACTGAAGCTTCTGAAACTCTCCTTTACCTGGGACATTAACATGGTTTTACATGCTCTTACATGTACTTCATTTGAAATGTTGATTTCATGTTCCTTATACCATGTTTTACTTAAGGCATATTTCCTTCTCCTTCTTGCCTATCATCATCATCATTTAGATATATATATGCTATTGATGCTTCTCACACTCTTTCACATTGCTTACTTATTTCTCTACCCCAACCAGGCCTTTCTTCCTAAGATCTTGGCTGCTCAGGAAGGTGATCATTTTCTCTCTCCCACCTCAGTTCTATGCTCATTCAGACCCAGATTGTCATCTCTGTCCAGTTCAGGCTGTTCAGTGTTACTTTACTTGGCATATACTTCTTCTTTTGGAGGGTTCCCATTATTGTTTGTCTCTACCTTGGGACCTCTCTCCTTCCAGAAACTTCTTGCTTTCTACCCTTACAGGTTGGGTCTGCTGTTGGGATGGTGGACCTTGAAGAGTTCCTCACTGATTTTGTACAGCACAATATGATGAGAAATAGGACAGTGCTGACACTGTCTGTGTAGCACAGGTCGCTTCTCTAACAGATAGTGTGCTTTCCTCCTGCAGCAGTATGGGTTCATCACCCCCTAACCACACTACACTTCTTGGCTTGCTGACCACTTGTGTGCTAGTGCTTGGCTAGTCGTGCTAGAATTCTGTCCATCTATTGCCTTTCCTTCTAGGCAAAGGGTATACCCTGGTCAAAACGAGGTGTAGGTCTCCCACAAGGTGTGCCCCTATGGAGCCCCTGCTATCAGGTGTCACATACAGTGGGCATTCCCTTGAATTATCTCTGAAGGGAGCTCATCTAAGTTTAATGTTTGAACCAATTTCTCCCTCTTTTCAATATGGAATTTTAGATATTCTGTGTGAAGAGGTGAGGTATCATATCAGAAGTTAACATTTTCCTTAACTGAAAATGTATTTCTGATAGATACTCACCTCTACATACTTTCCCACCCATTCTCTGCACTTCCAGTGCACTTTCTTTTTCCCTTTTTTAAGAATGAAGTTAATTTGAGCACAAATGCTTAGGAAGAGCTACTGTATGAGGAGGTTGTGTCAAATTCCTATTGGTGGAGGGCTATTGTCACATGATAATGACATCATGCGCTAGCATAGTTCATGGTAAACATGTGTTTTCATTTGGGAGGTAGCTCGTGGCTGGTGGCATGGAAATATCCTTAGTATATGTGAAAAGGAATAAAGCTATTCTGTGAGTATTTATTGGAAATATATTTTCAGGTAAGGAAAATGTTAACATTCAAAATATCACATTATCATGTTTGTATGTACATGGAAGATTATTATTATAAGTAAATACTTGAAGTATAAAAGAATCACTAGTTAACAAATAGCAGAATCAACTGTATAGTGTGATTACCAGTAATGAGTCACTCTTAGTTTTTCATGTAAACAATCATAATTTCTCATTCTAATATGGATTATGAGAATAAGTTTAGCCAAAAGGTGTTTTTTATCACTTAAATAATGTATTGAGGCCCTGCAGGCCTACGAACTAGGATATAATTTTAAACATATTTTTTCTGTTTTAAATATATCACTATCTAAATTTGACTTTAGATTTTGTGTGAGTAAGAAACAAATGTAGTTACAAGCATGATAAAATCTGAAAATACAAAGAAAGTGTTAAAAGTTGCTGTGAGGGAAAAAGATTAATATGGTCAACATTTCAACCAAACAACTTTCATAGTTTTTGATGAAAGCTGTTTTTCCTATGGTATTATAAGATATAATGATATCCCTTAAGAGTATTTGAATAGGATCTGCAGAAATGTATCACAGAGTAAATCTGAATTCTCTGAGTTTAGCATAGAAAGAAACTGGATACAATGTAACATATAGTGGAACATTTATTATTAAACACCATACACAATTAAAATTTATTTATGGTGCTTTACTGAAGGTTTGATAGCTCTTAATGAAGTTGAAGAAGATTTGTCAAAAATATTTTCCAGACTAAGAAAAGATAGCATTATATATGTAGAACAATAATCCTATTCTTACTAGGGCACATTTGCTACATACAGCACTGTTGGTCATTCCCATAGAAAAATATGGGAGGATGTTTTCTCAAGGTATCACCTGACTTATCAGTGGAAAAAAATCTCTGTCTACTTTTATATAGTATGCACAAGTTCAAAGAATTGTTTTCCATGAGAAAATGCACATGATAACATAGGTGAATTACCTAGAACAATAGATAAGTAGGGTGAAAGGAACTTAGTCACTTCCTGGACCAACACTCTACATTAACCTATGTGCCATGTAATTTTAAAAAATTTGGATAAGTTTAGAATGAAAAAAGCAGCTAGTAAACACCTAATATGTCTGATACTACTGTCCAAAATGTTGACCTAGTTAATATTTTATCCCTTACAACTTATTCATTTTATATTTTAAGGTTTTTAAATGCTCTGAGTTTTAACTTTTAAAAAGTTTTACTCCCTTCTTATAATACTTTTTCTAATTTGGGGAAAATTGTAATTGTTACATGAAAACATTATAGTTTTGCCAGTTTTAGATGCTTTCCACAAGAAAATATAGTAATCATAATGTTTTTAATTAACTTTTTATAGGTTCTCTATTATCTGTTGTAGTTCTTTATATCATCAACAGCAAGAACAGTAAGTTATTATTGTTAATAATTCAGATGAAATGGAATAACACTCAAAGATTCTTTTAAAACTCATCCAAGATATGGGTCCAAAAGAATGGTTAATCATCAGTTAAAAATGAAATCAAACACTTATTGTTTGTGACTAGACATTTTTACTTAAGCTCAGTCATGTTGATAAGTTGAATTTTAACATATCTGAACTACAATTACTTACTTTTTGTAATAGTTTATTATAAAAAGCATTACTTAAATAGTGAAATCAGGTCAAAATGAAAAACATGTTAACCTTCTATGATGCTGGAGGTTAAGACCTTGTATGCGACTACCTACTAAAAGCATGTGACACATGTACACTGATAGCAAATTTGAACCAGATATTTAACATACTATATAGTTCCTATACAACAATTACTTATAAAGGTGTTATTGCCCACAATTAATGTTTGGAAATTCAGCCACATTATTTATTAAAAAAACTGACTGAAAAGATAATTTGTTAGAAAAACCTTAGTCTTCATCCTGTGATATCCACTCTGTAGGAGCTTATCTATAAAGTGTATTAGTATAAAATCTGCATTATTAATTGTGTTATTAGGGTTATAGACATGCAACTTAATCCTGTAGTCTTCTGTGTTTGTGTAAATATTATCATCTTCACTAGCTCTCTGTTTGCTCTCTGTTAAGTGTCATTTTAACAATTAGAAATGATATCCTTTTGGATTTTAATCATATTTTGTAAACTACTTATGCAAGAAGATATGTATGGACCTATGAATAATGTATGAGTCACAAAAAAATTAATCATAAATATTGTTAATATTTTTATTAATCTCATTAATTATTGCTTGTTTCCCTGTGCATTTGGCATAGAAAATTAGTGTTTTCAACCAAATATTTGGTAGGTTCTCTATGCTGAGTATTGCAACAGGCAAAAAACAAAGTTACTCACTATGTTGAAATATGTGGACCACCAAACCTGTAGCAAATGTTATAAAAACAAATTGGTAATGGGATGGTTAGATAAACTAAAATCAATTTACAGTCAGAGCATTATATCTAGCGGGATCTAGATTTTTCAGTACTCACTATTTGTGCAGAACATTATAGGCAAGAATGCAATATACCCCCTATAATCAACAGAAAACTACAGATTTCCTAACTGCAAAAAACATTGACTTTCCACTGCATGTGACTCTAGTAGAAAATCAATACTGTGAAAATATTTTCTCCATATGGGCTTAGTATGTGTAATGGTACTTTAGGCTTAGGTATATTTCAACTTACTGGTAAATCATAAAACAGGATAAATACATTGTTTTATTAAATAAATACAGTCTAAAAACTAGTTTATTGTCTCTTGGTGTTTTAAGAATTAACTTGTTTACTTGACCTTAGATCCATTGGTTTAAATTCAGCTTAAAGATATAGGTAGGTTATAATATAAATCAGGCTAAATACATTTTATTATTAACTTTACATATATTGTTCTAATAAATTATTAAGCTCTATATAATTAAAGATAAACTTTATTACTTTAGTGTGAATACAAAGTTGTGATAAAAAATAATATCATTGTTTCTTAAACATTAGACTTAACAGTAATAGTATTAACAATAGGCTACTGGTATTTGGTATTGAGTATTTATTATCAGGTTATTATTATTACAAATACAATGGTTAAAACTAGTGTAGGAGTTAAGCATTCACAGTTTGTTAGGTGTAATGGGGGCAATGAATGTGTTTTATTTGGGAACTTGGGACTGGAATGTAATTTTAACGAAGCTAGTAATGTAGATGTGCAATTTGTATGTAGAGTTTGTAGGTTGAAGGAGAAGTTGGAGGCAATCGCAATTAAAGTAGAGACAGTAGAGAAGTGTAGATTGTGGGAATTGGCAGCACGATTTCAGGAGGAGCTTAAATTTTTACATGCTAGGGATACATCAGCTAACAGTGACTGTCAGGAAGTTAGAAAGAGTACTGTTAGAGTAAAAAGTAGTGAATTTTGTTAGAATGAGCCTATCCTGTTGAGCAACAAATTTCAGTCCTTGGCTTCTGCAGATGAGGATCTATTGGAGGGAAGGAAAACAAAAGGGTCAGAAGAATGTGGATGATAAGGAGGTTATAGTTATTGGTGATTCCTTGACAAGGCATGTGGATAGAATACTCTGTAGGGTAAACAGGGACAAAAGAATCAGATTATGCTACCCAGGGGCACAGGTGGAGGATTTAACTGACAGAGCAGGAGATATAATAAAAGGGGCTAGCACAGAAGCAGTTTTTGTGGTGCATGTAGGGGCTAATGCTGTAGGGAAAGGTAAGGGGATGAAGTTATAATTAGGTCACTAGAGATAAATGCTAGGATTAGGTTAGTATGTAGGGATGAATAGATTGGCTGGTTGGACTTGTGGGATCAGTTCAGTGGAAGAAGGTAGCTTTTTGAAATGAATGGTTTACATTTAAATAGGGTAGTTTGCTAAGTCTATTAACTCAGCTGTAAGAGAAGTTTTAAACTAGGACTAGACAGTGGTGAGGGCCAGGAAATACTAAATGCAAAAAAATTGAGGCAGAGAAAAGCTAAGCATAGGAAATGAGTATAGAACTATAATAGTTGTAAGGATAGACTTAATTGTTACTGTTGTAATGCTAGAAGTATAAGAGATAAAATAGATGACTTTAGAGCACTGATAGGAATGGAGGATTTTGATATAATGGGAATAGCTGAAACATGGTTAAACATAGATGATTTTGATGACAGAAATTTCATTGAAATATAGGGTTAAAGGCTATTTAATAGGGATGGAGTATTAAAGAGGGGAGGAGGAGTGGCTTTATATGTAAAATATGAGTTACATCCTGTTGAAGCTAAGTATATCAAAGATAATAGCAAAGAGATTGAATCCATTTGGGTTTCTATTAGTGGATATAAAGGGAAAAGGCTTTTAGTGGAAATTTGTTACAGACCACTAGATGATACTGATGAAATTAGTGAGAAACTTTACAATGATATTAAGATTTCACTTGTTAATGAAGTCATAATTATAGGTGATATTAATTTCAGGCATATAGATTGGGGAGTGCTAGAGTCAACCCATGAGGAAGAAAGGTTTTTGGAAACTGTTCAGGATGGTTTTCTTTATCAATTAGTCAAGGAACCTAATAGAAACAATGATATTTCAAATATATTGTTAACTTCAAATATAGAAGTAATTGAAAGGGTGAAAACTGGGGAACATCTGGGTGAAAGTGAACATTGCCTTATTAGGTTCGATGTTTTGCTGCATATGGAGGTAAGGAATAATGATATTTTGGTTACAAATTTTGAAGGGATGTGACAAGAATTATATGTTGTGAATTGAGCTCCTTACCTTAGGAAAGACATTGAATTGCTGGAAAGGTTTTAGAGAAGGGTTACTAGAATGGTGCCTGGGATGGAGGAGTTGTCATACAAGGAAAGGCTGAAATCTCTCAAATTGTTTTCTCTTGAAAAGAGAAGAGTTAGGGGGGCTCTGATTGAGGTGTTTAATATTGTAAAGGGAATTGATAGTGTTGATGCATAATCTTTTTTCATATTTAACAGTGAGAATAGTAGGACTAGGGGCCACAAGTATACATTTTGGCACGGTAGGTGTCATCTTCAGCTAAGACAGTTTCATTTTTCTAACAAGGTGGTTGGCCTTTGGAATGGGTTGCCTTCAGATGTTGTAGAGGCAGTAAATATAAGTGAGTTTAAGAAAAAGCTTAATAGATATATGAATGATAAGGGCTGGCTTTAATTTTTTTTTTAAATTTAGTTTAGAGGATGGAACAGCTGAGATGGACCAATAGGTCCCATGTTGTCCAAAAACATTGTTATGTTATAGTACATTTACCAATTTTAGTGTAGTTAAAATTAATATTACATTTTGTTTTCCTTGTACAATATTGTAATATAATACAGAAATCTCAAGGCTCTCGTGCCTTGACAGTTATCATTAGTGAAGACTGATTATTTAGAAAATTAATTTTTTTTGCAAGATTTATTTTTATGGAAATTGGTTAATATAATTATTAAACATACTAGGTACTTATTTAGCTATTTTTCAGATTTGGGATCAATTTTTATTTGAGTTTTAACCTAAAATATATAATTTTGTACTGTCATATAAGATTATGTAAGTTTGTATTTGTTTATTCTATGAATCTGTATGACTTGACAACTCATATATAGTGTGAGTGAACTTAACTTTTTGAAAATGATTAAAGTTACACTCACATTAAATAATAATTATTAAATTTCTTATCAAAGGTTTATTTGTTTTTTTTTTGCAATTCCAAATATTTCATGATTAAAAATTAGATATATGTTTTGGTTTATAATAAGTTAAATAAATAAGCACAGGATGTACAATGTCAAAATCATAGTCAATGCTAACAAACACCATTATATCATTACATAAGTACAAGAGAAATGTGTTTCTAAAGTTAGTTTTTCTAAATGTGTTCTTATTCTAACAGCTGTCTTTGTAAACAAGGTTTTCAATATCTGATAATTTTACCTTATAACTTAAATTTCTTGACTTTTGCAACATTACTCAGTTTTCTTTGTAGTTTGATCTCCCTTTTTTGGTTTCTTTTATGTCCCAAACATAATAATATGGTATATTAACAAGTTTAATGACAAGATTAGATAAATATTTTTAATAAGTATGTTATCCACAAAAATACTTTTATATTGGAGAAGATCATTCTTAAGTCGTTCTAATAATTGTTTTTTATATAAATTGTGCACAAATTTAATCTGTGGTATATATTTTTGTGTTTTAATATATTTATTCCAATGTTTTAAGCAATAAACTGAAAGTTAGATGGATGTATCATTTCAATATTCTTAGATGGTGATCTAGATTTGAGTGTGTCAAAGAGGATTGAAAGAGAACAACATAGAAAGTAGGTGTGTTTACATATATTTATACATCTAATGATATATGTCCATATTTTGTAAAGAATATCCACTGTTACAAACTAAAGCAAAATAGTTCCTTTAATCTAGTGTTTTTTCTCAATGAAGTGTCATTAACAATGTAACATTCAAGAAAATATTTAATAATAAATGGTGTTAAAATAAATAATATTAGAAATTTCCACCATAATTCTGATATGCTGTGACATAAATAAATTCATAAAGAATTATGCTTCAAGAAACCTAATTCATTTCACACTATAACAGCTGTTGTCAAGCAATATGTTCTGTAAATATTATCCCAACCATTACCATGCAGGAAAATCCTGTAAAGACTATAAATTGTATCTTTTATTTAAATTGTAAGTAAGAATTAAATAATAAAGGAAAGAAAATGCAGTGAATTAAAAAAAATTGTTTTATATTATTTTAAGTGAAGAAAGATTATTTTATAGAGTCAAATTATTTGAAGAATAAAATAAGTAAAGTGGTTTTCTTAGGTTCTGAAAAAAAAAAGGTTTTATGCACACACACACACATGCATATGCTATAATAAATAACTCGAAATAAGCAACATTTCTTTTATCAAATGGTGTTTTTATGTTGATATAGAAATGTGAAGTTTCCCTGTTTTTAAAAACTTCTCCAATTTTTGGAAATCTGGCTTGACCTCTTTATACCCACAGGAGCTCAGTAGATTTTCCAATAAATAATCAAGCAGACAAACATAGGTTCATACTTTTATTATTATATGCCGTAGAACATAACTAGTGTACAGAATGAATAAGAGTGGTTGCATATTTTTGATACATTTAAAGTCTCTTTATGCCGATTCTTTGAATCTTGATAAATGTTTATTGTTTATTAAATTTTATTGAAAATTATTGTATGTATAAAAGTATAAAGCTGACCATTAAAAAAATGCTTAGTAAATGTGATTTTGGTTTATGGTTGGTATGTCAGTAGACTTAGTATAGATAAACATAATAAGACTGCATGTTTTATATTGTATTAAAGTTTAAAGTGCATCTAGTGTTTTCATTCATAATAAGTTGCCAGGCTGTGTTCACTTGTAAAATGGTATAAAATATTGTTTATCCAATATTTGAGCAATTAGAAGATATTTAACATTTTTGTAAATTATAAAAATTAATTGGGAGATAGATGTTCCTATTGAGAATTACACTATTTAAGTTATGTACAGCCTAAGTGAAACTACATGTCATAAGTCTTTTTTAATGACATTTCATTCACATCAGTTTGAGAGCTTAAGTGCTCATTCTTTCTTGGGAATGAAGTCTTTGAAGGTATTAGTTTTACCAGCTGTAGATTTTCTGCAATTGCAGGCATTAATAAATAATGACACTAGAATGTGTCAGCTTTTAAAAACATCTAACATTATATCAGATTTTGCATCCATAAAACAGTAACAAATTAACTTGTATTACATTTATAACATTTTGTAAATGCATAAACTAATTCATTACTTTACCCTAATCTTTACTGGCCTACTATGTAACTTGTACAGAATGTACTACATTTACAAGTTCACATCTGTTTTTCATCTTATTAGTTTTTGTAATTAGTCACAGGCACTTCACATCAGTTGTTTGAGAGAACTGGTATCATCTAATAGTAAAATAACTTTACTGATAAGAAATAGTTGTAAAAAAAGTGTAAATAACATGCTTCATACTCTATGATGACAATTTTTCAATGTATTTTAGCATACCATGGTCAATTAGATGGGCTCCAAAAATTAAGCTACATTTGTGAAGAATGTTAGTTCTGAGAGAACTGTTGTTATATTTTTGTATTTACTGCATATAAATTCTTGCTTACTACTTTTTGTTCTCCCACAGCTTCCAAAAGGTCATGACAGCCCCACTTTTGCAGTGAGTGACAAGGAATTTTCACAGCAGTTATATACTGGTGGTTTGATCTATTTTACATGCCAGTCATGACCCATTTTGTTTCTGTATGGGGAAAAAAATTATTGTAACTCTAATTTTTTATTTAAAGTATTTAATTAACAAAGAATTTTAATTGTTAAAGGAGCAGTTTGTGATAACCTGTATTATTTTATTAGTATGTGATACAACTTGTATGTGTTACTTACTTTAATGTTATCTTATATTAAAAAAACAATTATGTGGGAAGAATATATCTAACGTTATCTTTTATGGAAAGTGATATATACAGTAAATTTTTGTAATTCTGTTTGATTGTGGTTGTTTAAGTGAAATATATATTTTATAATTGAATTTTTTTTTAAGAATTAAAAACGTTATTAATTATTTCAAATAGATCTCTATGTTGTTTATGAAGGGGATTGTTTAGTTAGAACATACTTCTTTTTAGGATTGTTTAAAAGTGATAAAATGTAGTTCTGATGAATAATGTTTTAACTAAGGTTGTCACTAATAAGAAGTTATGTTTAGTTATTTATATCACAATAGCTAATAACAATTCTAGTCACTTCAGTTGTGATTTCTCTGTAGCTACATAATTCCCTTTGTTATAAGATTGTCCCTATATATAAGAAACTGTTACTTCTTCCTATTCATATATTTTTAAACATGACATTCTTGTTATTTAATCATGTTATGTTGTCTAAATTTATCTTATTTATATGATTTTTTAATATCTTGATCATTCACCAAATTGTTATAAACATGATTCATTCATATTTCAGAAAACTGTCTAGTCATTTAAGTTAATCATGTCCTGTAAGTTCCTGGACTTATAATGCTAAAATTCAGGGTTCAATTCCCTGTGGTGGACAGAGAGCAGATAGCCCATAGCTTAACTTTATGCTATAGAATCAACAACAACAACAGTTAATCATATTAAAAAGTAATACATCTCTAAAAGTTCTTTGTAATCAAGACTGACTTCATAAACACACAGGAAAAAGTCAGAGTGATTAATGGCACCACATTTCTAGTAATAATTTATTTGTAAAGAGTTTCAGTATTCAGATTACCAATGCCAAGTTTTTCTCTTAAGCTTTGTAGTAAATCATATGTATGTAAAGTAAAGATTTCAGTATTAGTATCTTAAAGTAGTGTTAAAACTCTGTTTCATATATTTTTATCTAGGTTTTTATCCACTGAGATTATAATTCGTGTGTATGTTATTTTAAATTTGTAGGTACTTAATCCATTGACTGCAGCTGCTCTAAACACGGGCAGCATTTTTGCAAGGCATACACCATATATGACATTCAACTGCTGGAGACAGATCATACACTATACAGAGAATCAGCAGTCAATGGATTAAATATTTATTGAAATATTCAAGAGATTTATTATACATATTGTTGCCAGTGTTTTTGAGTAAACTGTAACTAACTAAAATATCTGTAACTATTAATAACTGTAACTAAAATATTTATAACTATAATTGTAATGAAAAAAGTGGTTGTAGCAAAGTTCAAGAGAACATAAATACATGGAAATTTTTTTCCACTCTACTCATATTTATGTAGCTGTTTAACATTATGTTTATCCAAAAAGTAGAGTAATATATGTGTATGAATCAGATTATGAAGTATAGTACTATGGTTTCTAAATGTGTTAAATTATGACCAATTCAACATTAAAGACTGGTTCACACTATGAAAGCAATTATTTGTTGTGTTATGACTGGTATTCTGAAATATAAAAATTGTTTGGTGTGATTACTCTGTTATTTGTATATATATACACACCATAGTAAAGATTAAAATAAAATATTTATTTATTGAATACTGTAGATAAATAATTCTTTTAGGGTGTTATGCATCTCATTTACTTTGTGGAACGTAGGTATAAGTTAAAAAAAAATTCATGAAATATGATTATTAGAATATATATAAGTTGGGAGTGGACTAGTAGTAGTGTGCTGGGCTGTGTGTCAAAAGGCCCAAGGTTTGAGTCACCATATCTCTTTCAGTTGTGGGTTCATTATAAAAGTAACAGTCAATTCCATCCATTTTAAACAGCTATGCAAATTCCTTGGAAGGGTGGGTGCTGCTAACTGGTTGCTCTTCCTCTAGCCAGAAGATAAAGACAGCTGTACCTGAACCCTAGTGGGGCCTATCACAACCAATGTGTCACATAAGATGACATTCAAGTTGAAATTACCAATATCTTAATTATATTTAATATGAGACATTGGAAATTTCCATAGGTTACACATAAATACAATTCAATAAAAATACAAATTACTCAAAGTGTATATATTCAAAATGGAACTATTCTTTGCAAGTTATTAATTCTATCAAACACATCCATACATACCCTTATTCCTTAGACCTACAGTTACTACCGGCCAAAGTAGAAATATTGGAAGATCATACTTGTGTAATTATGAGAATGTAGTTTTCCTCTTTTTTTTATTTAATTAATTAATTAACGTTTTTATGTGTAAAACGTCATATTTAATATTATTAATAACACGTAATGGCCCATGGCCATGAATTTTCATTTGGACCACACTGCTCTAGAACAGTACTGACATAAATATACACACAGGTATAAGAATACGAAACAATTATAAACATCAGCATTAACTGGAAATATTGAAATATCAGCACAAACTAGTAACGAAGGTAATCTTATGGGAATGCATTTACATTATACTGGACAATGTTCCTAGTTTGTGTTTCATTGTTGAAAAAACTCGCTCCTCACTTTTGGACGTTGGTGCACTATAAAAGTGATTGTCAATTCCGCAGATCAGGTAAGGGTATCCCAGAGATGGCAGTGGATGATGTTGACTGGCTGCCTTAACTCTATTCTGTCATTTTATAATTAGACTTTAGAGATGGCTGTGTGCCGGTAACCATTATGTAATAACTTTGCTCAAAAATTTAAACACTGAAAAGAAATATGCTATTTCCAGAACATCTGCAAAATACATAAACTTCTATACAAATAATGGCAGTAAATGCGACCCAATTAACTTTCAACTCGCAAGTAAAACAACTTGTTTGCAAGCAACTGAAGAACACAAGTAAAATAATTTAATAGTGGATGCTTAAACTCATTAAAGTCCCAGTCTAACTCTCCATTGACCATGCGCAGCTGTTTTGGGCGTAGTTTTGGGTTGGTGTAGGAGAAGAATTTAGTCTCAAAGTATTTTATGACAGATTACAAGAAAGAAAGAGACTGTTTAGAAACTAAAGAAATCATCAATGCAAATGATCTTTCATTACATCGTGATAATAGCTCTAACAACATCAGCCGTACCTGACAAGGTCTATTCATCGTTCATACACTTGATCTCTACCTATATTCTGTCGCTTGCTGACACCATTTCCGTCACATTTAATCCCTATGTTGTTGTTTTTTTGTCTTTGTAGCTATATATATATATATATATATATATAAGCATTATATTGCTTAGTACTATTAATACTTAAAGAAGACAAACCAATGTTCTGTCGAAACGTAGTATTTTCCACCATCAATATAACTTTTCCTTATGATTATCGTTGTTTGCCTACCTATTATTATATTAGCATAATGAGCTACCTTACTAACGTAACCAATACACACACACAAAAGATTAGTAAAAATTGTTCATTTAAA